CTTGAACCTTGTAGCTGATCGAATAGGTCATCAATCCTCGGCAACGGATATCTATTCTTTATTGTTGCCTTATTCAGCTCTCGGTAATCAATGCACATCCTCATGCTTCCATCTTTCTTCTTTACGAATAACACCGGAGCTCCCCAGGGTGATGAACTAGGTCTAATGAAACCTTTGTCCAATAACTCCTGAAGTTGCATCATTAGCTCCTTCATCTCCGTCGGTGCTAATCGATAAGGTGCTTTTGCAATTGGCGTTGTTCCGGGCAACAAGTCAATACGAAATTCTACTTGTCGATCGGGCGGTAATCCAGGAAGATCTTCGGGAAATACTTCCGGATAATCACACACAACAGGAATATTTTGCATCACCTTCTTTTCCTTCTTAGCATCGATCACGAATGCTAAATATGATGTACATCCCTTGGTCAAACACTTTCTGGCTTTCATTAGGGAAATGATTCCAGAATTTACTCTGCGTTTATCTCCATACACCATAAACGATTCCTTTCCAGGCGGATTCACTTTCACTATTTTCTTCTTGCATAAAATTTCGGCATCATTGGCACTAAGCCAATCCATTCCCAAAACGATGTCGAAACCATTAAGTTCTATAGGTAATAATTCCTCGTGGAACTTATTCCCATTCAAATCAATTAAAATGTTTTTCATACGATGGCTAACAGGTACAATCTTGCCACTAGCAACTTCGACTAATAAAGCATTATCTAGTCTCACAATAGGCAAAGCTAGTTTTCTACCAAATTCATGCGATATAAAGGAGTAGTTGGCTCCAGAATCAAATAAAATTTGGGCAGGCAATTTGTTAACGAGAAAGGTACCTGAAGCGACATCAGCTTCATCTTTAGCAGCTTCCAGTGTCATCTGGAATGCTCTCGCCTTTGGCTTTGGCGGAATGTTGGGTCTTGCTGCCTCCTTCTTCTTCGGACAATCCCTTGAGATGTGCCCCTCCTCACCGCAACCATAACAAACATTCTTGGTGAAGGTGCATTCGTTGGCATAATGCCCTGGCTTTCCACATTTGTAGCATGTGGTTTCCCCGCCACACTTCCCATGATGCTTCTTCTTGCACTTGTCGCACCATTTCGCCTCTACCTTTCCTCCACTTCCTCTCGAACTAGACTTCGAGAATTTACTTTTCTTGCTGGACCCTGAAAATCCATCGATTTTCCTTTTCTCACCAACCTCTGACCTTTCTAGACCTTTTTCCCTGATCTGGGTCTCAACATTTCTAGCAGCCCAGATGGCGGCTTTCAATGTGGTTGCTTGCTTAACCATTGGACCATAGTCCGCTGGTAGTCCAAGGGCAAACTTGTTGACCTTAGAGAGTTCTGTAGGCACCAAATATGGGATAAACTTCATCTTTTCCGTGAAACTTGTAGCGTATTCAGTAACGCTCAATTTCCCTTTCTTCAAATTCTGAAACTCATTACTGATTTCCAGAAGGTCCTGCTCGGAGCAGTATTGCAGTTTTAGTTGTTCCAGAAAGTCTTCCCAAGACATTTTGCTTGCTTCTCCCTTGGGCATAGAGTCAGCTAACAGCTTCCACCAACTCAACACGCCAGATTTTAGCAGAGGGATCGCAAGAGCGGTCTTCTGCCTGTTGCTGCATTCGCAACTTTCAAACATAGTCTCCATTTCAGAGACCCAGTCCATAACTTGTACCGGCGTCGGGCTTCCGGATAGGCATGGTGGTTTGGATGCCATGAAATCCTTATACTTGCACCCACGACCATCATTTCCTCCATACTGGTTATTGCGTCTAACCACTGGTTGTTCGTCTTGACCAATGATCCCACTAAAGTTTTCTCCTTCAGACTGCCCTCCATTCTCCTCGGGCTCTTCCGCTTGAATTGACGGTTCTTCACGATTCTGCCTAAGCAGGCGTCTTGTTTCTTCCATCTGACGATCCAACATCATTTGAATCATCATTTGTACACCAGCCATTGTTATCGGCTCAGGTGCAGCAGCTACGACAGGTACTTGCTCGATTACAGGCGGTTGATTCCTGTTTTCATTAGCATTTCCAACTCCGCTTCTTGTTCTCACCATTTTGATCTATACACCGAATAATTTCACCTTATTACTCCAAACGATTACATGCTAGTTCTAATATCGTACATATACGCTTAGAATCCTAAACACATAAACCTTCAGATCCGGTTGGCAATAAACCGTAGATCCGAACAAACAATATCATATATGGCAACATATAACATTTAGCACATAAAAGCATTTTAGGCAACTTTCCTAAAATAAACTAGTGCTTGTGTCTAAGATCCAACAGACACACACCTCGCAATCTCCACTTAGAATGCTAAGTTTAAGTTTAGAAATCCTACAAATTCCTAGTTCGCTTAAACTAATGCTCTGATACCAACTGTGACATCCCCAAAATCTCGGCCAGAAAAGACCGATTTCATTTATGCTTTTTAAAATAATTTTCAGAGTAAATCCTTTTAATTTTAAAAGAGATGCGGAATTTGTTCCCAAAAACAAAACATGATAAAATAGATATTTATCAAAACATTTCATAAAGAAATATGATTTCATTTCATAATCAAAAGTCGGGATGTCATGTTCCGATACAGATCATAAAGCATAAACGATAGCATTACAAGTCATTCAACAAATATATACATATACAGACTTGTAAACAAAACAACTTGATGTTCGCCCATCTTAAGCTCTTGCGCCACTTCCTGTAAAATAAATCAACTGAGTGGGTCAGGCTTGGGAGCCTGGTGAGCATATAGGGTTTTCAACCCACAATAATTATATTTAATTTCAACAATCAACAATAAACCCGATTACCCATTCCCGTTATCCTCACCTTACGTTCCTAAAAATAACGTCTATTATAAGGAACCTATTTCAGGATTTTTCATCGGGACGGACATTACTGCAGAGGGGCTTCCTCAACAATAAGTGTCCTAAAGGCAACCATGTGGGGGATAGAGTACACCGGTGAACACGTCGTTCACAACACCTACAGGTAATGAGCCTGCTAGTGTTCCACAGGACAGTCTAGAATAGTCCGTGGTCGTCATCCATACTCTGCTGAATGACTAGAATAACACCAATAACACCGAGGCCTCTCATCTGTTTATTACACACCAATTACCTACCCATGTTCTACCCAACATATTAGTAGATAAAAATATACATTTTTATACATAGTTTAAAAACCTGTATAACATGTTTTAATCAACACATATTCCACATAACAGATGAGGCATACACACATAACACGTATTTCATAGAGAATACATCAGATCTATAAGATAGAAGAGAGTGAATATACACTCACACGTATAACAACCAAATATATACACATAACACGTATTTTATAGGAAATACTTCATAATATTGCGTTGGAATGAAAATAACTACACACTCACTTGATCAAAGATGATCGGGCAGCACTACGGCTTGCAGAAGAGGTGTTTCTCCGTAGATCTGGAAGATCTTCACAAAACCGGGCTCCTCGCGGGCAGCGTTTCGGCTCGGGAATAACGCTCTTCGGGATCCTCGGGGCTTCGGATCTTACTTCGGGGCTCGGGAATATTACCGGGGCTTTGGGGTATAAACGGCACGCAAATCGAGGCAAAACTTAGAGAGAGGAAGAGTTTGAACAAGAGAAAATGGCTGAATTCGAGTTCTATTTATAGGCTGCTGGGTCTGGGATTACGCGGGGCGTACTCAAATTACGCGGGCGTACTCGGGTTACGCGGGGCGTACTTTGACGTCACTGCGTGCGTCGACTGGTGGCACTCGAGTATTGGTCAGACAAGTTGCATCCGACTGAGTACGCGGGGCGTACTCAAATTACGCGGGGCGTAATTGACTTGTCAAACTTCTAAATTGCGTAACTTTCGCATACGAGCTCCGTTTTCGACGTTCTTTATATCCACGCGAAGGTCAGACCATACTCTACAACTTTCATTTAGACTCCGTCGGCTAATTTTGACTTTTATTTTTATTATTTATTTTTAGAAGGCCGGGACAGAAAAACTTCGTTATAAATTCATAACTTCTTCGTCTGACGTCCGTTCTCGCCTAACTTTTCATTGCTTCGCTACTAACAACAAGATCTTCGATTCTCATTTAGATTGTTTCGGCTAAAAACCGCTCGATCTCAAATCGAGTATTCGGGCTGCATACTGCTAAGTCGAAACTTAGAGAAATCATAACTTCCTCATACGAAGTCAGATTTGGGCGTTCCTTTTATGCACGCTCTCGGTTTAACGAAATCTACGACTTTCGTTTAGATCGCTAAGGCTAAATATCGCTCTATCTTAAATTCATATTTTACGTCACTCGGCATCGTGTCGGTTCTGTCGCGAAACTTCGACAGGTCATAACTTCTTCGTTATAACTCAGATTTTGGCATTCCTTATATCTCCGGAATCCTTGTTTCGACCACTACAACTTTATGCAAAGATGTCGGGCTTATCTCACACTTAAATTTTGACGCTTATTTTATTCTTAATTTATTAAATTATAAAATTAAGAAAATACACACATAAATCACATAATTCAAATAATTCACAAATAATACATTCTTATTATTTCAAGTTGAGTTACAAGGTTAAACTAGACTATTACATTGCTAAAAATGGCAAGCTTAGAAACACGGGCGTTACAATAGCTAAGTGTGGAAGTGGAACTTATGACAATAAAAAATACAGTGTCCATTTAGGGATGTGGTTGGATGGAAGTAGAATGAAAATACATTCAAGATTAAATTCTTTAATGACATTCATCTATATGCTAGGAATTATTACTTCAGTTCACAAGTTACTATCAATTTGATAGCTAAACATTACTTGAAAGATGTAATCATGAACCCCAATATGACATTGCTAGATATGTAAGTAGATGTGATACAAAGGTTTTCAGTGACTGTATCAGTTGGGCAATGCCAAAGAGCAAGGGCTACGACAATGGGGATGCTAGAAGAGAAGTTAGAAGATCACTATGCCAGGGTTTGGGACTATGAAAACTGAAATTATGTTTACCAATCCAGGTAAAAATTGCTTGGTGGGTGTAGAAAGTATTCATGGGTTCTACTATTTCAAGAGGTTTTATGTTGGCTTCAAGGCTTTCATAGATGGATGGAATAGAGGCTACGAAAGGATTATAGGATTGGATGGTAGTTTCTTGAATGAGCAGATAAATGGGTTTATTCTAACTGTTATTAGGAGAGATGCAGACAACCATGTATACCCAATAACATGGGAAGTTGTGAATGTTGAGAATGAGGACAACTGCACCTGGTTTATTAATGATTTGGTTGCTGATTTGGATCTTGTTGTTGGCAATGGACTGGTTGTTATCTCAAACCAACATAAGATACTTACAATATATATTAGTATACACCTGCTTAAACTTGCACCTGCAAATTATGGATGTTCTCTGGAATACCATGTGTTTATGGTCAAGCTACAATCAACTTCATCCACACATATCCAATTCATTTCCTTTCTTCCTACTTCCATAAGGACAAGTATGTTGCAACATACATAAAGAACATACTACATGTAGGTGGAAGCAACTTGTGGCCAAGGACTGAGTTTATTAATCCATTAACACCCCTAGTTAGAATGATTCCTGGAAGACACAAAGTAAAGAAAGTAAAGCGTGCATCTGAATCACAAGATGCCAAATACCCCTCACAAAGGTTAAAGGTGCCTTGGACTATAAGGTGTGGAAATTGCCAAGAGTCTTGGCATAATAAGTTTTCATGCACAAACCGTGAAGTACCTATGCCTCCTGTCCCAAAAAGGAAGATTGGAAGACCTAGGAAAGATGGGGGAGGACAACCTATCTTTGACCAATTCCATCCCCTTAGGTCTGTAATACCAAGAAGGGATGGTGCTCCTTTTGTTTATGAATGTGGTGGTCAAGAAGATGCTCCTGCTATTTTTAAATCTAGTGTTCAAGATGGTGCTCCTCTTGGTTCTCAATCTGGTAGTCTTGTTGTTACTCCTATGAAAAGGTCTAATATGATGGCAACGAGAGGAGAGAAAGCTAAGGTTTCTGAACCAAGTCACAAACCAAAAAATAAATCCCATGTTAAGCAACCTATGAGTCAAGAGGTGAGGATGCGTCCCTAAGGTTTGATGAGGCTTTTTATGACCTTTTCACCCACACACCAAATGGTAAGCAACCTATGAGTCAAGCAAAGGAAGATGTTCGTGAACAAGAGAATGGCGATATGGTGAAGGTGAAAAAAATAGTAACTTTAAAGGATTTGATACAATTTGGATATACACATGTTAATGTAGTGGTTGATTTGAAAGAGTTATGTGTTGTTACATTATTATTTTACTTTCATATTGTAGATTTACTAACTAGACTGCCATATTGTAGTGTTATGGAGAAGTTGAAGAAACAAATGTTGAGGAAAGAGATGTTCAGGAAAGAAAGGTTGAAGAAAGAGAGGTTGAGGAAGAAGAAGTTGAAGAGAAATAAAAAGGTATATATATATATATATATATATATATATATATATATATATATATATATATATATATATATATATACAGAGAGAGAGAGAGAGAGGCTGGAGCAAGAGTGATACCCTTTGATATTTGTTCTTACAATAAGAGGACTCCCTCTAAAAGAATTAGGAAAATGAAGCTCAGGAAAATGGTCCAACATAATGTTTAGATGGATAAAGTTTCCAACTTATTTCCTAGCCATCACCTTTCACGAACCACAAAACTATCCGGTCTCCACTCTTCATAAAACATTACCCCATCCGAATTGTAACCAATTTCCTAGCCATAACCTTTCACGAACCATCACTGAGAAAGGGTTTTCATGCATTCGAGAAGGTTTTCACACTGAGAAAGGTTTCACAATCCCTAATTTTGCATCTTTGAGCTCCTAAATCATTGGTAAAGTAAGGCGGAGTAGGAAGGTACATATATGGAAATAAAGAAAGTGAAGGGTTTTGTGGGTGGTTATCTTTAGTGTGGAGTTCCAACTGTGAACTAACAAGTTTGTTTTTTTTTTATGAAACATATGCCTTTTACTTCTGGAACTAAGAAGCCTAAAGCGCATGTGATGACTTACCTTCCAAACTCAGAGTCCTATTGTAACGACCCAATTTTCAAAAGAAAATATTCATTTTTAAATAGTCAAAACATTTCCAATAACCAATAAAATCTCAAGTACATTTGTTTTCAAATTCATAACATCAACAATATTATTATAAATATCAGAGTGTCCCCGTAAAAACGCCTGAGAGAGAGTAAATGTCATGTCATCAAGCCTTTCCCTTGCCCTTAGGCTCAGATGTACCTTAAACAAATCAATAAATTGTAAGCTAATGCTTAGTGAGTTCCCCAGAGCATACCCCACACAATCCACATAATCACATAATCATATTAGCTATAAAAGTTGCATAAACCACATAAGCCATGCATAGAAACACATAGGGGATCCCTGGAAACCCTCTAGGGTCTTACTCTATCACACCCCGAACCGGAACGGTGGAAACATCCGGGGGCGAATGACTTCATGTGTAGTATCATAACAATTGAATATGAATGAAACATAGTAACCAAACATCATACATTGGAAATACACACTTACATATTGAACTTGTTCATTTGTTACATAAAAGTAAGAAAATAAACTTTTTTGAAGTCGCGCCACTTGATCTCATAGCTGAGCTTATTACCTGGTGATGAATCCCTGAGAATACAAGTCATTTTGAAAAGTGACAACTAAAAAGTTGGTGAGTTCATAATCATTTTGTTATAAGATGGTTTTGTACTTGTTTAGAGTAGTTCTCATAGTGTTTTCAGAAAATCTGATATTTTCTATAAAAATAATCTGTAAGTCTCGTTCTAAAACTATGAATATATATGCATGCCTGTCCTAGGTTATCTTTTGTATGCAAAAGTGAAGTGAATATTCCCAGAAAATCCGATATTTTTTTAAAAGAAATGGTTTGAAATATTTGCATCCGATCTTATATTAATGCATGTGTGTTAATCTTTGCGAAAATAGAAAGAGAATGATCCCAGACAACACGATGTTGTCTGCGTAAGAGAATGTTGGAGTCTCAACCCCCGAGGTGGAGTACCAGTGCGTATAGGCTACCGTTTTATCAAAAAGAAGGTTTCCCATAAATTTTATAATGTTGATTCATCTAAGTGAGCCGTTATAACCATACTAGATAATGACAATTTCGCATGTCATGGCGTTTTTCGAACGTCGACGGAATAAGGTAAGGTTTTTATCACCCTAGACTGGTCTAGTCTAACTGTAGCGAACAGCTCAGGTGTGGGGTGTCACCCCCGTATATATCTATACACAAACTCCCGCTCTCCCTCCAAGAGACTCTGGTTATAACCACAGGCTACGATTATACACACAATAGGTGTCAACCGATACATCTTACTAGATCCTTAATAGAATTTATGCGAAAACAAACATATAAGGTATATTCCAGGTCCAATAAAATGTATATTATTTACAGGCTCGAAAGGAATATATATATATATATATATATATATATATATATAAGTTATACAAACTTGCATCTAACACAAGTATAAGAGCTTTTAGCATGAAAAAAATAATTTCTTGTTTTTTCCATTTGTGTCTCTATTTTTTAGAAAAATTATAGAAAAATCATCGTAAGTTAAATTCGGATCCGTAAACTCTGAGAGTTTATAAAATGAGTCTACTTTATTCATAATTTTTATTAAGATTTTTAATGGCCTCAAACCAGTGTGAATATGTTCATCTTTACCGACTAGTCTGAAATCATTCCTGAAATGATAGGCAGTTTTGTAAAAATTGCCAAAAATTGTAGAAAAATAATATGAACGCGTGAGAGTAGTCATTTCAAAGGTATGAACCTTAACTTTTTGCATGTAAAACCGTTTTGAAAAATAAAACCATCAAGGTGGTCAAAATAGTCCATAATTAGACCAAAACGTTTTTGTTAAAAGCTGATTTTTGAGTTTAGGTTATACATGTTTGAACACAACACTTATTAATGCTACTTTGAGTGTATAATCTGAGATCTACAAGTTTACATGTAATATTTATGACAAAACATACTTTTCTCATGGTTTTTTATGAAGAATCTATAAGTTCAAGTAAAAATCTATAAGTTAAACACATAACACAATGGTACATGCAAATATCCAACGGTTAAAATAGGGTTGACTTGTATCCTCCCCCGAAAACATAAAAAATACAAAAGATATGGGGGTATGAATCTCACCTTGAGGATTTTTGAGATGTAGATGAAGAAGATGATGAAAGTTTGAACCTAGCTTGTGCCTTGAAGGGATCTCGAAAATATGGGTGTTCTAAGGAGTTTGACACACAAAAAAGTGTGTAAATTGAATGTCTAAGCATAAATACGAAACAAAACACTTGAGTTTAATATAGATCTTACCAAAAAGCCTAGAACCTGATTTTGATGATGATGAACTAGAAATTTTTGAAGAGAAGAAGAAGGATTGTTCTTGAGAGTAATGTGTGGAATTTGAAGTTGTGAAGTGTGTGTATTATGTGTGTTGTAGCCGAGAATAAGAAAGGAGAGAGGGGAGAAGTTGACTTTGGTGATTGGAGGCTTGAATGACACTTGCATGGATACATGGAGTTTAATTGTATTGATGTATGTTGGACAAACATGAGGTGGCAAGCTTATTATCCTACCCTTTCCCACTTTTTTTCTTTTTTCTTTTTTTAAATTAGGCCAACCGACCAAATAGGGTTCTCGGCCCAAAGGATGGCCCAAGAATATTGGGCTTTGATTTTGGCTTGACCGAATAAGGATTTTCGACCCATTGATGCTTAAGAAGAGGTTTTTGGTTCAAAGAGCCCAAAGGTGGGAGTTTTTCGGCTCATTAAGGCCCAAAAAGAGGTTTATTATTTAAAAAAAACAATTGAAGGAATTATCGGTCCAATAGGGCCTAATAAAGAAGTCTTGGTCAAATAAGGGATTTGGATTAAGAGTTCAAGGGTTAGAGAATTTAGCTTATTGGATCGAGTTTTGGGCTTATACAAGGAGATTATATTGTTCAGGAATTCACATATTAACCTAATTTTGCTAGTTGTGACATACTCCGGGTGCCATGGGAACCCCTACATGGTCTTAGCCCAATACCTCATAACCCCCCCCCCCCCAACGAGTTCTTGAAGGATGCCCTGGAAACCCTCCAGGGTCTTATACCCTAATGCCTCGGGAACCCCCCGAGGTCTTTACCTAAGATGCCATGGAACCCTCCAAGGTCTTACACGTAAGTTCCCCAGGAACCCCCCGAGGTCTTTACCTAGGATGTCGTGGAAACCCTCCAAGTTCTTACACCTACGTGCCCCGAGAACCCCCTGAGGTCTTCCATACAAGTATCGTAGATACATCTAGCATACCACATATCAGATAATCAACTAGCACAATACATAGCAAGTAATGGGTCGGCCTTGGTGCCTTCGGCCCATCGATATGGTGAGGTGACTCGCCTCTCAAAAATGTTGAACTGATAAGATAAGATCACAAAATTCCCCACGCACAGCTACAACTCAACTGCCTACAATCATCATGTGACTAGTTTTGTCAAACTCCATAATACCAAAAATACCCTCAAAGTCACACTTGGTCAAAGTCCAAGTCAACAGTCAATGTCAACAGTCCATGTTGACCCCAACTCGTCGAGTGCATCTAGCAACTCGTCGAGTTCCTTCAGAGTCCAGAAAACTAAAATCTTGAGTCAACTCGCCGAGTTACTCAAGTAAATCGTCGAGTTCTTTAGTATCCAAGGGCTGAAAACCCTAAACTGAAAGCTCTTGACCAAAACCCCTAACCATCTCACCGAGATCACTCAAGATCCTGAAAACGGTTAACCCTTGTCCGACTCGTCGAGTTGGCTAAGCAACCGTCGAGTCCCTTAAGCCCTTTTCATGTTCAGTCCTTTCCAATGGATTCCAAGGCTCCAAACTAAAAATCCAGCCCCTAGGGTGTAGTTACCACGTAAAGTTTCCAACTTTACGTGCATGCAAGGCCTTAAGATGCTAAAACACTCATAGCTAAGGTTTATACAAAGTTTAGGGCAAGGAGAAGGGCTAAGACTACATAAAAGGAGCA